AACATATGAGCGTAAATTCATTACATTGGTTTAGTTGACAACAGCTGATCATCATTTAAACATTTTGATCCATTAGCCGAAGAAAGTGCTTTTAAGAAAGAAATGTTTCACTTAACATGGTAACCAGTTTCCAATTCTGCTGGGCAAAGCAGGTTTATGGGGAGTTGAGCAATAACATGAAGTGAAGGGGAGCACTCCTATCTCACTGATTTGCAGGGCCAGACTTGCAACTCTGACTTGCCTGATGTACACATTGCTGCCATGACCCTTTCTAATTATGCATTTGCCTGATAGAGCTATGCCTAAGGGATAAGGAAAGCATAGCTATAATCTCCAAAACAACTTAATGGCTCAGTCCCATTTTCAAGAGTGCCTGAGAGGCCACTGAAACTCAAAAAGGTTTCAAGAAATGTTCAAAGAAACCTACATCCAAAATTCAAACATGACTGGAGCTGAAAAGCTCTGAGTCCTATGTGGAGACAGTATCACCCTAGCACAACTTATGGGGAGTTCACCTCCATTTTCCCACCACTCTCCAAGAATAGCTGCGTGCAGAAACACTGCTGTGTACAGGGAAATGACCTGAGATCATCTGAGATCTGGGACAGTTGGAGTATACTCTATATACTCACTTTCTCTTGAAAACATTCCTGGTGGTAGATACCTCTTGGCCTTTTTTAGTTCAGAAATGGTCAGGATTCACTCTCCTTGTTATGTAAAGCTAGAGAAGTGGAGCAGTACATTGAAAATATACTTCAACCTTCCGTGTTCCCTCGCTAGTAAGTTCAAGATTTGAGTTCTTTAGGATACTGTTCTCTTCTTACTCTTCTGAGAAACTTATTAATGGGATGCAACACTCACTACACTGCAATGTCTGTCTGCCTTTGTGTTTCTGGGCACACATGGCTGTTGAAAAAGGGCTTGTGGAATTTTTCATTTTTCAAAATGAAACTTTCAGTTCTTCTTAAGTGCTGCAAACAAGAAAAAAATCAAGTATAACCTCAACAAGATATGAACTGTGATCACATGCTGCTGGACCACGGGGAATTTTGTCAGTGCCTTCCTAAAAGTACTAATCAGTCTTCGTAGTGGTGAGGTAGAATATCAAGTGAGAAATGATTTAATCTTCAATAACAGCGCTCATCACTGATGTAGAACACAGATGCAAATTGCAAACTTATTTCTACAATGAAATAAATGGTAACAGTAGCCTAATTTGCACATATTTGGCACTGAGGTGTTTTGCAGAATGAAAGTTGTTTCCAAATCCAGCATGAGTGCTGTAGGGAGGAGAGTTACAAAATACAAGAAAGCGATGTAAAATGGATAGTTAAAAATGTCTCGTCTTGCTTCACCATTTCCAGGTCACCTGCACTCTATTTGTTTTGCCTGCCTATCAAGTGAAAGATAAGTAAAAATATGTATGCACTATTTATAAATCAAATAGTGGTCTCAGTTCATAGCTTTTAATTGCTTCCATCCTCACCAAGATGTGACATCTGAGCTTACCAAGAGATTCCCATTCTCAAAATTATTTTGGAGCATTTTCCTGAAGTGGCATTTTTGCACCAAACATGCATTTTTCAGTAGGAGAGAATGTGCTCTGGTTCAGCTCTCCATCTGCAGTGGCTTGCTTATAGAAAGCAGCTCAGCACTTGGTCAATATTTATGAAGAGGAGACCTAATGACATTAGGAAGTGACTTCTCATAAAATTGTAGCACAACCTTATTCTGTTTAAAAGCTAACAGCTGCTTTCCTTCAGCACAGAAGTTTCACATCATTGTAAGAGCATAGGAAGAAGTTTATACTTACACATACATACAAATTTCATTCCATATTAAATTTTTCCAATTAGATTAGTGAGTACAGACAGACAAATTATTTTAGACAAAGCTTAGCTGATGTTAAAAAGTTTTATCATCTAAGGATTAAAATGTTAAGTGTTATTTAGAAAGGTAGATGATTTATAGGAAACCATTAAAGATAAAATTCATTTGAGTGGATAAACATGCCCTTCTGCCAAGCTGAGCAGAACAACAAATTTAAGCTGGCTTTTCACCCACAGGGACTTCTGTGCTGGGAAAACCTCTTGCTCCTTGTCCTTAAATGATTGTGAAACATTGGGTTTTATGCACTTTCCCCCCTACTTTGCTCTAAAAGGAGAGCATGGCTTCATGTACTTGTGGGGAGAATGTTGTCTATTTGAGAACACAAGTATCAGGCTGGTATTATTACAGCTGGTAATAACAGAGATATAAGTTGCATAACATTTGGCAGTCAGATGTACTTAAACTACCTGAAAGAGGATATCTTAGAATGATGTCCAGTCTGAGAGCAGTTTTGTGACTGCACATCTGAAGGATAACAGAAAGATTAGTGTAATTATTTCAGTGTTTTAAGGCCAAATCCTCGTTGGCTGCAGAGGGAGCAGTAGTAAAAGTGGTGAGAATTTATGCTCAGCCATTCTAGGGCAATCTTTGTGAAATCTCAGGCTGCATTCCAGACCCATGGACTCAAGTCAGGCAGATACACACAGCACAGAAAATACTGAGGCTTGACATTCATGAGGTGGGAGGTTGCTGTTGTGGAGGGCTTGCAATGTAGGAGCTTGTCCCTGTGCAGAGACTCAGCAAAAAGTGAAAAGAACCGGAGGTGTAAAATCAATGCTACAGCAAATTAAAAACTATTTACTATTGAATTTGTGCATCTGTCTAAGAATGAAATATTATCTTATATATGCATATTGGTTTCATGCATTTTTTTTAAATTCCCTTTAACTAATGTGAGTGTTTCCATAGGGAGGGAATCTTGGACATGGGCTGCTCAGCTTGCTGCTTCTCTTTTATAGATAGCTGAATTGTTTTTTAAATGGATAATAAGAAGGGCAATTAGGCAAAAATTCTTGTTATTAAAAGCACAGATTATGTGGCAAGTCTAATCTAAATCTATCTACATATCTATCCAAATGTAGAAAAAAATCCACTGTAAAACTAATTCTGTTTTTCATTCTAGTATAAATAGCACTTTTTGATGATAAGGGAGCACTTCACACACGTAACCATAGTGCCCAGGCAATACTGCAGGCTGCCTGAGACATTGGCACAGAGCAGGTGGTTATGTTCCCTCACCTTGGAGACCCTGCCTGATATAATTGTGCTGTCACCTTAAACATAGCCTGGATAAATCTTTAGGGCAGATGTGGAACCAAGAGAAATTTGGCCTGAAATGTTGATTAATTAATACTATATAATTACTTGGTGATGATTAAACCACAACTGAAGTGGTTTGCAGACTCTCCTGCTGAAGTCCTGTGCTTCCCAACACCAACATGATACAATACCACACCAGATGTATATCATTGTATTTGGTTTCTACCCGACTAGCTACACAGTCCTGTGGTGGAGAACAACAGCTATAGTCAGACAAATACACACTGACAAATGAACAAAATGTTGTTTTCAGGTGTAGAAATGGTTGCAAATATATTTAAGAACCACAGGATATTTAAAATCTAATTTTCTTTAATCTCCACAGAGGTCATTGGCTCACTGCTCTATGAGACTTGGTCCTTGCACATATCAGTGGAGAAACTTGAGGCCACCCTCACTTCATGCTGCTTCTTTCAGTAACACCCCTCCTGCTAAATTGCTGCCCTCCAAAACTCTCTCTTAAAGCCTGACTTGGCAATTTAACTATAAACAAGGCAAAAAACCCACATGTTGGCAGAAGCACTGAAATCTAATGAAAAGAAAGCTTTCAAACTCTATTAAATCACTAAGAGGTAATGTATCCAAAAACCTGGAGAGACTAATGAGTGGCAGCTCCCCTATAATTCTAAATCATGATTTTTTTTGCTGGTTTACAGAACATAAGTCATAGAGGAGAAAAAGAGTAAGGAGTCTTGATTAATCATTCCTAATTTCTCTAATCAGCTCATGCTAAAATGTAATTGTATGATGGGCTCGCCTGTAAAAAAATAAAAGACCTAAACACATGGAAAGCAATTACAGCAATTACCATTACACAGCATCTCAAATAAGAAATATGTCTGTTTATATACATATATATTTTTACACACATATAGATATATATTTGTATACACACACACACACACACACACACACACATATATATATATATATATATTATTTCACTTATGGGAAATGCAGGAATTGTATCTTAGCTGTTGCTGGACAGAAGTCAAGGGAAGTACAAGTAAGATGGAAGTAAAGCAGACAGCTAAAGGACTCAACCTGGTACTAATAATTCTTGGATCTATGTAGCCTGTCACTGACCCAAAGTGCAAAAAATAAAGTTATAGTACCACAGGATAGCATTCCACAAGCAGAAAAAGGAATCTAAACACAAAAGAAAACCCTTCCAAGCACAACTCCCTGAAGCCCCCAAGACCTTAAAAAAAAGAACAGAAATGAATTGGGGATTGAAAAAATATAAGCAATATAAAAATTAATTTACAACATGATAGCAAATTTAGCTTGCAGGACAAGCCCAACAAACAGCTACAGATATTCTTATTTTCCTTCTTTTCTTTCTACAACAATATTTTATTGCAAGATATAACATATGCTGTATTATAAACAAAGCAATGCTTATAGAAGTCATTCCATAAAAACTATAAGAGACATGGCATCCTGGAGCCAACAGCTAAAATGAGGATTTCCATGCTGTAACTGCCTGTATTTGGTCAAATGAATTCTAGGAGTACTCTGTTTTAGATTAATCCTCTTACAGTCAATAACCCACACCTGCAGAGGAAACTGAACTCTGAATTAGCACAATCTGGTGAGTATGATTAGCTTTACTCTGTAACTCAGCCCTATGTGCCCTGATTGCTCATCCTCCCCTTGGATGGTGTAAATGACTGCAGAAGATGCTGGCAAGACCACATCAGTCTCAGGTGCTGTGGAATCATCCAGAACCCACAGAAAGGAAACAGTACTCACTTTTCAGTGTATTGGAAAAAAATATTGTACAACTGAAACCTTTTCTGAAATAACAGCAACCTCGTCCCACTCCAGCTCAGGTGTATCATTACATTCATGCAGACAGAAAATCAGATGCCATTGATTTTTCCAGGCCACTCAGCTTCACTAGTGAAAAATAAGGACGACAAGTGGCATGGTAACTGTACCTCAATCTTTAAAAATTCAAGACTCTTATTTTTAGGTTTTAACCAACCTATTTTCATATAGTATTTTTTTTAAATTTTCTTTTCTACCAGTGTTTCCTAAGCTACCTCTTATTCCTAGGCTCTCTTATATGTCTAACCTTGACTAGAGAACCTCTATCTTTTGTCCTTGAAAACACCACTGTGTGGGTAACCCAATAAGCTTTAGGCACATACCACTTTCTACTATACATGATATACAATTCCACATCTTAATTAGCTTTGCCCTTTTTTCCTCTGTAGTTGTTCTAATATGTATGACAGCTTTTTGCACCTTTTCATAGTAGGCACCACACAGGAGTGAGCTTTGTGCACTTAACCATAGCATTAAATAAACTCTTCTCTCTTCCCATGCATGGCCCAATTATGTAATTACAGCAGTATTTACTGTAGCAATGAATAGCAGGCAAGTATTCATTTTTCAGTATTTAGAGACTAAGTCTGGTTAATGGGCACATTTTCCATCTTGAAACTTGTAACCTAACCTCACAACCTAACCTTTTATTTCTGTCTATTACACAACACCAAAATGGCTCTTCGCTGAAAAACCAGGTGTGGATGCTATTCAAACAAGATCATTAGAGAAATTAATGTTTTTTCAGGGCTCATGTAAAGAAGGTATTTGATGGCCTTTTAGTTTACTTTTACATGATTTAGAACAATGAGTACCATTAGCTCTATTAGTACCTTGGCCAATTCTCTTGAAGCAGCAGCAGCAGATGCTCAAGGGAACACCAAGCATCCCATTTCCCCTCTATAAAAAAATAGTCATGATCATTTTTACACTAGTGCAAAAGCTGAGATAGCTAGGAATAGAAAGTTTATACTCAGTATGACGGCATTGCTGCAAAGAAAGAAATGTATTATGCTTTGACAGATTTAATTTTCCTCCTACCCTTTCAGTTCTTGACCTTTTTATAGCAACTATCAACAGATCCAGGAGGTAATACTGGTTTGTGTGCTAGTTCTGATACTATCAGAGACTTGTGGCCAATTTTACAAAAGCATCTAGGCAGAATAAACAATAGAAACAATGAGGGAGATTCAGATATCTGTTCTCTCTCTGACAGTCACCACGAATCCCTCACAGGCACAAAAGATTCAGATTTAGCTTGGAGAGCAGATGAAAGTGCATTTACATGATATGAAAAATTTACTTTGATATTGATTATCCATCAGTTTCCAGGCAGGCAGAGATTAAATTAACAGATTTCTAAGCCAAAGATGACCATTATATAATTTAGCACCATATTTTAAATGACACAGGCTGAGAAGTTTAATTCTATTACCCACTCAAAAGAAAGACATACAGTCTCAATTTAAAAATGTCAAGCCATTCATTACATCCTTCAGCAGTTTTATGCAATGGCTAATCACCCTGACATTAAAACATGTGCTCCACTTCAAATTCAGAACAAATTCCCAGACTCAGGTCCTGGTTTTATTAGGTTTTTTTTTTTTTTTTTTTTTTTTTTTTTTTTTTTTTTTTTTTTTTTTTTTTGAAGCTCTTTAGTAGATGGCGATCTCTCCTTTCCCCCTTTCTTTATGAAATTACTAATAATTGAGTCACCTTCTGAGTTTCTTTTCAGTAAAGCTATAAACAACCAGAATGCTTTAAATCTCACAGCAAAAACTGTGTCTTCCAACTCTTGAAATTCCTGTGGGATTTTCCCTTACTGCCCCCAATTTTTCAGTACATCGATTCACTCCGTCTTTGCAAAAAAAGAAATATTTTAAGATAATGGCCAAGGAGGTAAGAAGGAGGAGGCAGCACTCACCTCCTCTTGCTGGGTATAACTCCCATCTCCTCACTGTCCCCCTCCAGTGTGACCCTTCTTGCCTGCCACCATTCATCATCTGAGGCGTTGATGACGTGTAGGATGTCTCCATACTTGAAACTCAGTCCTTGGCTTGGGAGGCCACTGTCTTTGCTCTTGTCATAGTCAAACATGGCTCTGTGAAAGGAAATAAAAATATGAAGGCAGGTGATTATATCAGTCTGGGTACGTGTACTTCTGAACAATTAATCATATTTTATGTCACAGGTAACCTTTTCCAAGGGGAAAGATCCTGCTCAGAGGAAAACTCTTTCCACTGTGAAGTAAGTCTTTATAGAAGCCATTTTTTTTTTTTTTCCTGTAAGAGAAAGTGAATAGTAAAGTCTGATACCAATTTTCAGCCTATGCCTTTCAGCCCTATGCCTGGCACCTACACCATGGTAGATGTATCCTTCTTTCTGAGAATAAGACCCTGCACATGAATCCCAACAAGTACTTTTAGCTAGGTAACTCCACTCATTGGAGTTACCTAGCTAAAAATCCAGATCTTGATTTTTTACAGGCAAAAAATCCCTGGGAATATTTTTCACATGTAAAATATTGTTTAAAAATCATGCCTGTCAAGAACTGATGTTTATTTCCTATAGGGAAAATAATATGATCATAATCCTGGTTGCAGAAATGTTACATCAGCTAAATCCCAAGAAATGTCTAATAATCCCTACTCCTTCATTGTCAGAAAGAAAGATATGGCAATCTTTTCACTGGTAAACACTTTTGTGAGAAGGATTTGATCTGTACATACTAGTACAATTGCAAAGAATGATTGTAGCAGTTTTATGGGTATATATAAACCACTCAAAGCTACTTCTCATAATGTGGAGAACTTTAAAATAAGTTCTCAAAATTGTGACTATGCAACTAAAATAATTTAAAGCTCTCATACAAACCAACTGTGCATGGCAAGTCTGGTTCAGGAAGAGCAAAAATGCTACTTGAAATATGTCTTATTTTAAAGAGTTTAAAGTCTTGAACTAACATCTTCAGAAATACCCAGATAATTCCCTTCTCTGAGGATGAAGACTGCTGAATTTTACATAATCCATAAGCTTACTTATGCTTGTTCCTTTTTTGGTAAATGTTCTTGGAATGTTAAGTACACTTTGGAAAAATTTAATGGCTTAGCAGTTGAAAAGTTATTTTAAAAACCTGACTATATCTTATTAAATATTTACATTCATAGAGGACTCTTACTGGTACTAGGTCATCTGCTACTTCTCAAGTAGAGCTTCCTGTGAGGACATCTGATGAAGAAGCTCATAAATCCAGAAGCAGTCAAGTGTCATTAGACACCTCTTCTTAACCAATTGATGACACCAGATCCCTGGAAGATGGCAGTGCATAGGCAAAGAGGCACACAACACATCATCCTGTGGGCATTGCCCTTGGCAGCAGGCAGCAGTCAGGGTTTTACCACCATATTGAACAGTCTTAAAATTCACTGATTAATTGTGCACCTTGCCATGGAAGCTATTCAACAGCTCAAAACCCCTAACCAGAAGTTGGCCATGCTAGATACTGGGCAGACATCATACAATCCCGATTCCAGGCATAATTAAGTCACTCAAAACAAGGGACAATATCTTCTGTTACAGAGAATAAGCAAGACTCTCATGTCCTTGATGCAAAACATTCCCTGATGCCAAACTGGAATTGCTCCATATTAGGCAAGTTCTAAGATGAAGGTTGTCTTTCAAAAGTTGAGAAGTAGAAAGTATGACAATATTCTTTGTCCTTGAACAGACATTTGCACCTCAGAGCCCACACATTGACTTAAAATGTGTCTGTCATCGTGCTGGCTGATGTTAATGATGAATGCAGATGGCAATGTTTGCCACTGACTTGCTTTGATTGGAGTAATCATGTGCATTGCTAATTAAAATGGGATTACAGATCTCAGACAAGAGACGTTTTGAGCACACTTTTCATTGAATGAAAGATTTTATAGCTGATGTGCTACAGATGTTGATTACTCCATTAGCAAATGAAAATGACTTGAGAGCTGATTTCAGTGATCTTTCCTAAACATTTCAAATTAAGAGTCAGGTCTTGGTAACAGCTGTATTTGAACTTACACTTTTGATAACATTTCTGGCTCTGTAAAACATACTTTTGCTGGATGGCCGTTGGCCCAGCTATAAAGTATGTGGAGATCTTCACTCCAGGCATTGTTGACTACTTTGGGCTATAGAGACACCTGGGCACACTCGTCCCCACCACCTCAGGCTGTGAGGGCAGTTTGGATTGCAAAATCTAACCCCTTTAAGAGACTGATGTGTCATTTCTAATTTTCTACCTGATGAACACCACACAGTTCTGTTTGTGCATGGTTTTGAAGGTGTATATAAAAATAACACCTCTGCATCTGTTGTGTGCCAGCTAAGTGACACAAAATGAATGCAGCCATGAATGGTAAAGGAACTGGGCAGAACAGGCAGAAAAAGATGCCATTTTTTCTTTGCCCTTTCATGTTTTTAGACAACGACATCCAAGTCTTACAGGATGCCATCTGCAAGCTCTGAAACATTCATCAGAGTCAAGGTGAGCTCTCAGCAAGGTCTAGATGTTTTGTGTAAGCTTCTTCACCAGGATAACACACTAAGGGGTATGTTAGACACCTTAGAAAGGTTCTGCCACACCAGCAAGAGTATCAGAAGAAAAGCTAAAAAATAGTAGCACCTTTGCTGAATATTATGAGCAACACAGTCCAGCAAGAAACCCACCCTTGCACAGAGCACCTAACAGCCCTCTCTGAGAGATAAGCACTCTCATTTCAGCTAGAGAAAGACCAGCCCAATTAGGACCAGACAAGTCCTCTTCCAAAATGAGATGTTTAATAGAAACAGGGTTATTCAAACCATCCAGAGGGTCTAAACCAAGAAGACATGTCAAAGTGATGAATTAGAGGTATCTCCCCAATACACAAGCACAATACTGCAGATAGTGGAGGGGCAGCAGAGCTAGTGAGCTTTCTGAACTCACTAATATGACCATATACTTTCATCTGGCTGAGGCTGCTTATTCATGGGTTGCTTGGGCAGTTCTTCACAGCACTGAGCTGTAAATAATTTTTAGTGTCTTTTACTGCAGTATTAAAAATAATAATCTCAATAACCTTACAACATTTTAATGACATTTATCTAACAGTCTTGAACACTAACAGCTTCTTTTTTTTCTTCACAACTTATAAAAGTGCATCTTTAAGCACTGTTCTTTCAGGTGTTTTATATGCTCAGTTAGCTGCTTGTATCCACTGTTAAGCCTTTTTTTTTGCATCCTATGGGACAAAACCAAGAGCTTTCTCTGTGCCAGTAAGTTTTTTTTTTTTTTCCCAAATCAGCTGAATCAGTTTACTTTTGAATTAGGATAGTCAATCTTTTATAACAAAGGAAATCAGTTTGAATTATTTAACTTCCACTTTAGAGCTGTCACCCATGTTGTGATTACACCAGCATCAGAAAACTCCTGTTCAGAATCTTCTAGACAGTGCATTTCACAAACAGAACCCTGGGTTAAACAGGATAGAGAATGCATTTTGAAGTTACAAATACACTAAACCCATGGATAAAATACTGGAATAGGGAAAAGAGCCTGCTACTAAGAGGTTTAACAAATGTTGTAAAATCATGATTTGGTCAGCTTAGTTCCCTTATTAGAAAAACAGTAACATGAATTGGTGTGATTATCAAAAGCATAAGATATATGCACCAAAGTTCCATTAACACTTAAGTTATTTTCTTCTCAGTTCTCAGTTCTTGCCTTAGTTTAAAGAAAACTGTTTAATATCTTGAAAGTGAAAAGTGTCATTCAAATGCCAAGTACTGCCATGAAAGACTTGCTGAAAGCCTCATGCTTATAGAAAATAAAGTCCTGAGAAGTGAAGCGGGAGGTGCAAACATTTAGAAGAAGCTGGCTATCACAAATATTTATGAACATGTGAGACTTGCATCCCTGGTATTATTCCAGACTTCAGAAGTGATCATTGCACTAGACTAATCCCAGCAGCACTTTGGACAGAACCTAACAGGTTTTATTTTTGTGCTTGGGTGCTTCTTAATCATTTTTTAGCTAGCCACATCTGCATAAAACATGAGACAAGCATTTCAAAACAGCATTCTAATTCATTACTCAAATATTGTTTGAAATTAAAATACTGACTTGACCAAGCTGTAATATATTGCCTAATATGCAGTGAGGTGTCTACATGGCATGAAGGCCACCAAAACTAGGGTATCTTTTTTCTTCCACTTATTTTGATTATATCTTTGTTATTTGAGGCATTTTCAAAAGCTAAGCTGCCTTGTGCAGTAAATTTCTATTCCTAATGACACCTATTCTCACAGCTAGAGGAATAAATGTTTGACAAAGAAAATAAAATAGCTGTAACGAAACAGAAAATCAATTCCCAGTGCAATCCCATATATTACAAGCTATTGATATCCATGATACTATATTGTTACCAGCATTTGCAACTTGAAAAAATGGGGTACAGAAAGACTAAATGATCTTGCTAAGCCCTTAGCAGAAAAGGGAATTTAACAGAGAAACCTCTTAGCTTCCTCAGCTAATGCTGTAAACACCACTGTTAGTAGTCTTCACAATCTTCCTGACAAAGCAAGGGATATACCTGCATTTACAACACAGGAATATATTTTACTGAATGCTTCTATATGTTCAGTGCAAAACCCCAAAATCTTCCACTCCTGTATCAATGGCCAGTAATTTAATACAGTTCAGGTGCTGTGTGTCAGCTTTATTTGCATCTCCGAAATTACTTTCTTCTTCTGGCACAGATGGGAGTTTGCACATAAATTTACAGACTGCTTTTTGCTATTCACTTGATTATGAAACGACAACAACATTTAGCAAGAGAGATTTTCAGCTGCTGTAAATAGTCCTAACTCTTGTGTGATTTGCCAGCATATCTGCTTATGCACCACTAAAAGATATTTCTCTCTTCTCTGAAAATTTTTTGAACTGGGATTCTCAGACATCAGATTTGATAGCATCATCCTAAGGGAGCTATATGTTATTCTCCTCATTCACCACATCTATCCTACCCCCTGCCCTATTCTTTTATGGGGAAATCCAGTGCAGAGAGGTTTAATCGATTGCCT